GACTGCTGACTCAGCACGGGTAGACTACACCACTTGCCTCACCACTTGCCCACTTGCCTCAGCCTAAACGTGGGGAACTCCGAAAGGCCACTACTCAGACCTTCCGAAAGGCCGTAGACTTGGCCTTTCGATACTGTAGCAGCTACGACCTTGACCTTTCTGGACTGTAGCGGCTACGACCTTGACCCTTCGGGAAGTCTACAGCTACGACTTCTAGAACTCACTAGGACCCCTATCCGACAGGTCTACAGATCGAACCCCTACCCCTACCCCTACACCGACCTACAACAAACAACAACGACTGTCAAAACACAGGTCACGGGTTCAAACACTCGGGGTCAACACAGATACTGTACACAGGTAAGGTGGGAACTAGGGATCGAGCCCTGGGATCTGCGCTCGCTACTGCTGACAGGTGACAACCGTTTCACTCCCGCCGGCCTAAATTCGAGGTCCTCTGAGAATAAGTTAGTCCAAGGCAGGACTTTTCCCTTTCTTATCTCTTTCATAGGCTCTAACTATATCGGGAGCTGTCTCCAGAAGTTCGGTTCTCGTAAACCAGCGGTCATCCTCTGGCTCCTGATAGGCAAATTGGACCTTATATTGTTTTTGTGGACGACCTCTACCTCCTGTTCTGAACACATCTTCACCTACGATGTCGTCAATGTCGTACCTGCCATCCATATCCGGAGGGATCATAGACCTTCTCGATGGGAACTGATCACTCACTGTGCAGGGCAACAATTTGGATGCATGGAAGACCAGGTAGGTGTGAAGGTGCGCTGGGATTTCTACTGTGTAGGACGGCCCATCCTCTCCGCCCTTGACTTCTAGAACTGGCCACGGTCCTCTATACGCAGGCAGTAACTTCTACGAAATGTTCTCCTCAGGAGCAAACTCCTTTGCCTTGACCCAGACTAAGTCGCCTACTTGAAACTGCGACGAGCGACGATGCTTATTGGCTTGCTCTATCATCCTATGCTGGGCCTCCCTGAGGTTCTCTACAACAGTAGCTAGTTCTTTCCCGTGCTGTATCGCGAACTCCCTAGTACCGGGCGGTAGCCTATGAATCTGATCCTGGTTAAATCCCTCAAAAGGTCTGCGCGGTCTAAAGGACTTGTGCAACTCGTTGGGAGTGCGACAGGTAGACAAGTGCACACTGTTGTTGTAGGCGTTGGCTACCTTGGGAAGCGTCTCATCCCAGTTGATTTGATCAGGTCTAATGTACATACGCAGAACTTGCTGCAGGATCTTATTCATCTGCTCAGTCTGACCGTTAGTCTCTGGATGGCGGCCAGATGACATCAACAACTTGAAGCCATAGACTCTCATCAATTCCTGCCAGTTCTGACTAGTGAACCGGGTATCTCTATCACTAACTATGGACAATGGGACCCCATGCTCACTGACCCAATGATCAAAAAACTTTTGAATCACTAACTCTGTACGTGCCTCAGAAGGCAAAGGAACAAAAACAACATAGTTGCTAAATCTATCAACTACGACCATGACTTGGCCCTTACCGTGCCAGCATCCATAAAGTCAATGGATACTGAATTTCCTGGCTGGTCAGGAATAGGCAAGGGTCTGAGAAGACCTAGCGGGGCACGCGTAGTAGTCTTATTCCTCTAGCAAACTTTGCAACTGCGAACATACTCTATACAGTCATTCTTCATTCCTGGCCAGGTATACGCATGCATTAGGTTGGCTAGAGTCTTTTGCCAACCAAAGTGTCCCTCTGTATCATGACATTCCCCTCTATCAAGAGTAAGCCTGGTAACATGACTCCTGGAAAGGCGCGAAGCGCTCTTGATGGACTTACAAAAGAATGGTTTACTCACTTAGCAACTCTTCTTCAACAAGGGCGCTTCGCGCCGGATAAAGCGACCGACATTGTAAGAGGCCGCTTTATCTTCAAAATAGTCCAAAAAGCTATGCAGGTCATACTGGAGATGATCTACGAAGAGAAATTTATTGATTGCAGTCATGCTTTTCAGCCTGGTAGAGGCTCCGCCGCAGCTCTGACTCTACTGATCTCTTCGCTGTTGGGGACACACAGTCGGTCCACTACATTAGTCTTCTCAAATAACAACCTGTCAGTAGTGCGGTAATCTGGTTCGGTCTCTGGGGCCTCCTTCACTTTCTTAAGAAGGTCACTGTAGATAGGGTCCTGTGCATATGACTCTCTAACTTTCTGTTGCAGGTCTTTTCCTATATTCAGATAATGGACTATCGCTCCAAAGTAGTCTGATCTCCTACTTAGAGCATCCGCAACTACATTATACTTGCCCTTAACTGGCTTGAGCTCAAAGTCGTACTGGTCTATCTCTGCGGCCCACCTAGTCAGCTTAGGTGTCATCTTGGCCTGAGTCTTCAACCACCTTAACGTTTCGTGGTCTGAATAGACTTTGAATTGCCTCCCAAGCAAGTAGTGCTTCCAGTGCTCTAATGCTTGCCTGAGAGCGTAGAGTTCTCTCTCGTAAGTCGAGGTGGCTACCTTCTCTTAGGGCATCCTCGCTGACATGAACTCTACGGGTCTATATCCATTGCCATCGTCTTGCTGTAGTACAACACCTATGCCATACTGGCTCGCGTCAGTGGTAACGACGAAAGGTAAGGACGGATCGGCGACCTTAAGGACTGGATACTCTATCAGCGCCTGCTTCAACTTCTTCATGGCAGACGTGCAGTCCTTATCCCACTTCCAGATTGTTTCTTTCTTCAGTAATCTGCGAAGGGGTGCAGCGATGGTGGAGAAGTTTCTGACAAACTCCCTATAGTAATTTCCTAGGCCTAGGAACGACTGTAACTCTCTTAACGTGCGGGGTATAGGCCAATCTCGAATCGCTGCAATCTTGCTGTCTTCTGGCTTGAGGTCGTCTCCGTCTAAGACGTGGCCTAGATACAAAACTTGGGTCTTTGCCCATTCGCACTTCTTGGCGTTCATCTTGAAGTTAGCTTCTCTCAGCTTCTCCAAGACCTGCTTCAAATGACCCTGGTGCTCTTGGAAGGTCTTACTGAAAACTAAAATGTCATCTAAGTCAACTACAACGAATCTATCTAACCAAGGCCTAAACAAGTCGTTCATACAGCGCTGAAAAATAGGGCATAACTATAAACTCGTAGTGCCCATACCTAGTCCGGAATGCGGTCTTATACTGGTCATCAGGATAAACCTCTATCTGATGATATCCGGACTTCAAATCTATCTTCGAAAAATACTTGCATCCCTGCACCCGATCTAAAAGATCATCTATACGCGGCAATGGCTCTGCATTCTTCACTGGGATAGCATTGAGACCCCTATAGTCAATGCACATTCTAAGCTCTCCCTCCTTTTTGAGGACAAACAAAACTGGTGCTCCAAAAGGACATGAACTGGGCCTAATCCAACCCTTCTCTAGAAGCTCGTCTAGTTGCTTACGCACCTCTTCCAACTCCCGTGGGGACATCCTGTACACTGCTCCTTTGGGAGTCCAACTGCCAGGCTCTATCTCTATACGATCCTGGATTGGCCGCGGTACTACTCCTGTTGGCGGCTTTGCTAAGTCCTTGAACTCTTCCAACAGCTTGGCAATAGCTGGGTCAATGGGCTTCTCCTCCTTAGGCTCAGTGACAGGCCTTACGTAAGCTACGAAGACCTGCTCCTCTAATTTCTCCTTTTTCATTAGTCGCGCGAACGCAGGAGCACTGAGACAGCAATGTGCCAGGGTATTGTCTACACCTGACGCATGGAACAGACGGGCAGTCTTAACCTCGCCTGTCGGACTAGGGAGCCTACACTCATGCTCTCGTAGGTGGAGTGTGGCCCCTGCTGCCTCTCCCCAGTCCATACCTAGGACTATATCGAAGGGAAGGTCGTCCTGTACGAGGAGAGTCAGGGAATGGAGAACTTTCTCCACCTTCCCATCTTTCTCTAGGCGGAAATACGCCTGGACTCCCTCTACATAGTCCTCAACACGCATAGTGCGGTTGTCTGCGAGGACACTCACTATGGGGTCTTCCAACTTCTGGACTTTCAACCCTAGCCTCAGCTTCTTCAGCGCTCTACGGCTAATATAATTGCGGGTAGCCCCTGAATCTATAAGGGTTCCTACTCTACTTCTAAAAACTTCTACATCTACTAAAACTAGTTGTCCTCTACCCTCTTTCTTCATCTTGGCCCAGGCGGGCATTCTCTCCCTTAGCTTGTCAGCCACGCCTGTGAGGGAGGTGCCTAAAGAGACTCTAACGCAAGCAGTCTCTGGAGAGTTGTCTAGGCACTGGCCTGCAACCTCTACCATAGGCTCATGTGGTGTGGGAGTTTCTTGCCGGCTCGCGCTCGTTTTCCCACATGGCCTTATGGTAGGGGCAATTGCGACCCCTACCGGCGGCTGCCTTTTGCCTGTTGGGCAGCCCATCGGGCCTCTCCATACTTCGGACAAAATCGAATGATGTGGCCAAGGTCATCGCAAAATACGCACTGCCCCTGATCCACACACTGCTGCCAGACGCGCTGGCCCAGACCCAAATCCTCCCAAGGTCGTCCCTGTGGCAGACCTGGGTGCCAACCACCTCTCCTATAGGGTGACCTATTACCCCTATTAGGTGACCAGTTGCCAGAACGGTTTGGCGGGCGACCTTGACCCCTTCCTCCCGCTTGGCGGTTTCCTCCGCTGCCGCCAACCCCCCGATCGCCCTGGGAACGACCACCTGAGGCCCGGCCCCCTTGGCCTTGGTCTCCTCCTCTTCCTTGCGGCCTCCCTCCGGCCGCGACAGCAACGTAAGTCCTCCCCCTACTGTCCTCTTCTTCCTCTATTCCCCACTCTATCTGCTCGTAGGGGACTTAGTCCATACCTCCCTCATCTGATGTAAGGATCAAATAATCCTTGGTCTTGACTTGATCTGAGATAGTACGACCCTTCCACTTTTTGCCTTTGTCCAGGTCCTTGTGCCAGAAAGTGGAAACCGACGCGGACCGTGCTTCAAATGCTACCACTTCCCTGCTAAGTGCATCGTAGGGAATGGTAGGTTGCTGGCTCTTTTCGAAGAAATGCCCGTGTAACTGTTTGGGCATAGCGCGGTAGAAGAGATTGACCAATTGGGTCTCAGTGACCCCATGGTCAGGAACGGCGACCAACTCGTCCATCACACCTTTGAGTGCTCTCGCACTCCTCCACTGACGAGAATGGATGGTTTGCAGCTTATCTCACGCTTTGACACTACGGGTCACGTCTGCAAACCGTTCTCTCAGCAACTTAAGAAAGTCACTGAGGGGAGTGAACGCGGAATAGGCCACCAAATCATAATTGCAGTTGGCGGCGCGACACAGGGCACCGGCGAAGCTCCCGCTGCTTCCTCCCTAAGGGCGTGTATAGCGATCAGGACGTGCTCGTCAGGAGCAACGTTCTGCAAGTGCACATACGTCTTAATGTTGGCTTCCCAATTATCAAAGTTCTCCTCCTTTCCGCTGTAGGAGTCGGGGAACTTAACCTTCACAGACTCTCTAAGGGGACGCGCCACTTCCTCCTTGGGTGCGGCCAACTTGGCGCCCTCTATGGCGCCTGTGCAATAACTCTCTGTGTTATCTAGGCAGGCTTTCACCTCAGATCCCACATGTACCACTAACTCCCTTGCGAACTCCCTAAATCCCAGCCGTATCAAACGCAAAGCAATATCTTGACTTCTAATAAATTGGTATTGCTCCTCCTGAACCGCTGTCAGGCGTTCGATATTCTTTGCCATGATTTCCATCTTCCCCAGCAAATCAACCTGCGTCGCCATCTGGTCCCTCTGCTTCTTCACTTCTTCCACCTCCCACTCTTTCAAGGCCGCCTCCTGTTCGTCCCTGGGCACATACATCAGTGCTTCTTCCTCTTCTCCCAGGGATAAATTTGCCACCCACTCTGTGATCTTTTCTCTAACTTATCATCTTTGGTCCCACTGGGTTCCCCCCTTTGCTCTCTTCTTCTCCTTTCCAGTGGCTCTTCTTCTACCTCTTCCTCCTCTTCCGCCACTTTAAGCTTCTCTTCTTCTTCTTTCTTCAACCTCTCCTTCTCTCTGGCCATCTCCTCCTCAATCTTCTTCAACTTCGCCGCTTGTTCTTCTATCAGGGCCTTCTTCTTGGCCTCCTTCTCTCTTCTTTCTTTCAGGATGGCGGCAGCTTTCGCCTCCTCTTCGGCTGTGTAAGGGGAAGTGCTCTTTCCGGTACGCGTGTCAACCAAGTCACGGTTCCACTCCTCACCACTTAGACGTCCCCCTTACTTAACTTAAGACTGACTGACTCTCTATGGACCACAAAATCTTACCTTTCGTTCCAGCCAGATTACCACGACCGACGGAAGCTTTCGCAACCACAGTCCTTGCAATCCAGACCCAGATGCCCAGCACCTGCGGTCAAACCCACCTGGCTTTCACTCCGGTTCAGACCCTGTCAACTAGGGGCACTAGCCTAGACTCTAAACTACAGCCATCACTACAGAACCTGTTGCTGATCAGGAGGCATTTAAGGAGATCCCCCGTAACTCCTCAAGAATTCTTTAACGTCGCAGACAGGACGACGCGATCAGCAGGTTCTCTCAAGACATAGACGGCCCGTTGTGCAGCCCACAACTCAGATTTCGGGCCTACCGTGCCACATCGAGCAGCCCGCCGGTCAGTACCGGTCCTTGGCAAGGTTCGTGTCCTTCGGGACGGTCGAGTCGTCAGACACAGTCTTTAGCCCTACTCAGCCTGGCAAGGGTTTGGTCAACGAGGCCCTATCCTTCATACACGGAGTCCTATCACCTAGACAGAAGAGACTCAATGCAGAAAGAAGAGACAGACAGACTCAGACTCAGCAAGTACCATGGGGTGAGTGCACATCCATAGGGCGAGGGGATAGCTTGAGGGCTTGGCGAGATTATACAAACTCCAGCTTGGTCAAAGTCGTGGTCAGCAGCTCCGGTCAACGCCTTGGTCAACGCTCTGGTCAACGTCGTCAGACCCCGGTCAACACTCCGGTCAACCCTCTGGTCAACGCCCGGTCAACCCTCTGGTCGGCTATGGCTGTCGGCACCTTCTTCCTCGCCAATCTCCCTTCTCTTCCTCCTCCTT